AACTGACGAGGGAACGATGAAAAAAGGACACCGTGTTTAATTGAATCATTGTGCAAAAGAATTCGTGTGTGACCAGAGGTAACGATGTGTTGAACACTTCCTCAAGACTCTTTTACACACCGAAATTTGTTTCGGTAATCGGTCAATAAAACGATTGGGAGCAGATTCTTCTGGAATTTTTATGTTTTTTTTTTCTCTCTTTTCTCTACTTAAAAATTGTTTCACGCATTATTTCTTCAGTTTAATCGTGCACGACTGCCAAAGATAAGATATTGTGGGCTGTAGACCACCTTGAAATTGAGGCGCATTCGAAATCAATATGTGCGTTTATTGTGTCTGTTATTCATAAATCGATTGATTGAAAAATGATTTATGGCAATAAAAAACGGGTATAATTGTATTAAAATTTCATAATAAAAATAACTGAGGTTTAGATAAACGTGGCGACTACCACCCAGAGCAACGAGTTGCATATCGCAATTTGCAATTGCTGTGTGAAATGAAGCAGCTGAACATGGTATTCGCTGCCAAAACCAAATGTCAAATTACAATAATCGAAGTGAGTGAATTGAGTGCGCACATTTGTTGAATCAATTCAGCTCATTTGTTCGAAAGAACGACATTTAAAACGTTGCTTTACCTTTTTTTCTCTTTCTCTCTCTCTTTCGTACTTTTTCCAGTTGCGCTTGAATTGTACATGCAATTCATATTTCATAAAAGAGTCGAGCAACGGCAGCAGCCACTATGCGGCAATTGAATTGCGAACAAAAAGCGAATAATCAAAAGCCACACGAAATGAATGAAGAGAAATATTGGTTGTACAACCATAAATTACCGACCAACCGAAAGACTCAACACAGACGATTCCATATTCTACAGCACCCATATATATAAATCGCATATATCGTACATAGACATTCCAATTGAAATCGACAATGAACACACCAAATGAATGCGGACTAGGAACACAAGCGAACCGAACAAAAGCAACCACCGTCGATCTGCAATCAAAATGAACGTTATGGATTGCATGTAATTTGTTTGTAAACAAAACGAAACTAAATTCAAAATGAGTGAGAAAAACAAGAGAAAGAGACAAAAGAAGGAACAAAATAAAAAACCAGAGAAGCCCACAGAAATGCATATATAGTTTTGAATTCTAAAATGTGTATTCAATGTATGTTATAGAATTGGAATAATTTTTTGTTAACCTTACACTCGATAATACACACACTTTAATGGGCATCGGCGTGTTGATTACAACTTATATGTCCGATCCCGTTTTATTTCACTCATATCCACTTACACACATACAAACATGCCAATATGGTTAAGTTGGGCGCTCCACTATCTCCAGTCAAAGAGTCAAAAAGATGGAAACAAAAGGAATCATATATTTTTTTTCTCATTTCATTTCATTCCAACGCTAAATGATGAGAACCACTCCAATATAAGCGTTCAGGAAAAAAGGCAAAACGAAGCAATTTATTAAAATTTATTATCATACGAAACATGCAACGATATGGATTGCAGCTGGAAAAATAACAAAACGCATTCTCAGTTTTGTATCACTGTGCATGAGGCATCCTACAATGTGTTGTCTGTTTAGTGGGTTTGTTCGGAGACCAGACTATGTGAATTTATTAAAATAAACATCATTATTTTCTCAGCTAATTGTTTTCCCTCCAACACACTTATTCGCCAGAGTTTCGCTCTGTTGTCGGTATGGATTCTTTTGCGCTGCGCTGCAAGTCAGTCGGTCATTTATCGAAATGGCAAAAGGTGCACTCAAAAGACAGATACACATTGTACATAGATAGATGTACGAATAAGAGAAAAAGTCAGAGATAGAGGGAGAGGGAAAGAAGAAGAGATGCAGAGCGGCAACCAAAGAAATTTCTCAAGCATTATAATTGAATTTCGCATCTCGGCAATTGTGTGCACATTGTCTGTGGTCAGGTCTTTTAGTGAATTCGACCCAGAAAATGTAATCGAAATCGCTATCTGATTCCTTTTCAACGGGTTAAACACAAATTACGCCGCACGATGTTTGTGTTTCCTTTTCTAATGGCCGCACTTGTTTTTTTTTTCTTCTTTTCTTCGTTTTGGGCAAAAACCACAAACACAATTAAAATGAGTATTTCATTATTCGCATTACATAATAATTGAAATTTAATAGGATGGCTTTTTGTGTTGTTCTTTCAGAGCCTTCGCTGGAGTTTTTTTATGTTCAGGTTGTGTTTCATCATTGTTTTGAACTTATTCGTATTATTTCGACCACTTGATAGCAAAAATGATGTCTTTCGACAAAAATTTAATTAAAACTTTATGATGGTCTCGAATTTACTTTCGAAATATATATTGTTTTTTGCTGCATAAAATTCCAAAAATAGTTGAGATTTTTTTGTATGTGTGTGTGTTCAGGATGGTTTATTTTCAAAAGTTTATTGTGCCTATGTCATAGCTTATATATTGAAATATATAGATCAGAAGAGACCAGGTAAAATAAAACCGGAATTTTAAAAATTAACTTGTTCAACTCGTCATTTTTCCATTGTATGTAAAGTATTCAAACAAACGCCCACCATTTCAATCGTGATCGTCGGCAAGCGATGATGCATTGCATTTCGACAAATTTCTGATTAAACAATGATTAATTGATTTCACAATTACTTCAATGCGTTGCTATAACACACGCACATTATTCACATTGAAAATGAGCAAAGACCGTAAAATGAACGAGGCTTGTGTTGTGCTGCCGTCGTCGCTGCCGTCGGCAAACAAGTGAATGTACTCAATAAGATAAGCATCAAAAATATTTAAACAAGACATGGAATCTTAGCAACCAGATTTATTTTATAAAAACAAAAGCGATAAGTACATCTCTTATTGTCAGTCGTGCATTCATCAAAAGCATTTCTCACATTTGTTTGTCAGTTAATTTGATTTCTACAAATATTACAGCGATACACTACAAATATTGTCGATGGTTTTTGGATTTCTATACATAAAAAGTCAGCAACTCATGCCAAACTAAATCCATGTACGGCGTTTATTTTTCTTATTTAATTTCTTTACTTCAATGCTATTATTGCGTCCAAGCGGCAAACACACATAGCGATGATATTCTCATCAATTTTGTTTAAATACATTTGGGATGACTACATAGCAGTTTTTTTTTATTCTTTGGAAATTCGTATTTGTTAGTTGTGAAATCAATTGCACTTTAATTCGTCAAGTGGACCCTTGAATGCTGCTGATGCATGATGTGTACATTTATTAATGCCAATCACTGATAACGATTCGACACGACAAAAATCTCTAGTGAATTCTGAAAATCCAATCAATCAATTGAAGGTTGTACCGTGTACACCTTTTTTCTTCTATTCTCGTATACATTGCACAGCACGATAATTATGGCTACCTCTTGAAATTATAGCAAATCCATTTTGACAACGAATTAGATTTATTTCGTGTATGACGTGAAATTTTAAAATGTATTGGATCGCCTTTTTTCCTCACTTACGTTTGTTTGTTTTATGGACGGCAGCAAAGTTTTGGAAACAACAAAAATTAAGGTTACTTTAAAGCTGTTTTCAGCTAAAATTTATGTTGACTCTCAACGGGTGAGAAGGAGAAGAGAAAGAACAAGCCACGAACAAGAAAAAAATAAGAAGAAAATACTAAAAAGAATTTCGGTGTCCGAATCTTTTTATGATATATATTTTCTGTGAATTTTTGAAAAAGCAATTATTTATCGAAAACTAAGAAAATCGACACCACACTAACGCATAGTTGTAGTCACAGCCGTCCTGACCATAGTCGAAGTCGAAACGAATAAAAATTATGAGATGTTCGACATCTAGCGACGGTGCAAATGTACGATCGTTAACACACACTTTGTGCAACGACAGCAATAAAGATTTTTAAATGTCGACCAGAGATTTATTGCTCCCCAACACACGAATATGTGACAATACCATTTTCCTTTGCTTCGCAATACCATTTCCTTTCGGCATTTCGGTTTCGGTTAGCGAAAGAAGTAAAAATGGGACAAGTATGTGAATTTGTAAATTGTGATAATGATAAATTAGCCTTTCATTTGGATCAGGATGAAAAAAAGCGCATTTCTCGTGCGCCACTCACAACGAAATTACAGACAACCCAACAATCAGCAGCGCGGTTACTTTGTATGTGTGTGAGTTGGCGATAGAATTTATTGATGATGGCATTTTTTCTACTTCGTTATCCCATTTCGCTAAACTGGCGTCGACGGAGATCTTGTCTACTAATATAAAGCAGAACATTCGTCGTATCATATTGTCCGTCGTACAGTCTAAAAAAATTCGGTTCTAATTGGAAAATGGGCTGTTATGCAAACGCAAATTACATGACCGCTTTTCAAGCAATGAATAAGTCATCAGCCCAGTGGAAATCGAGTGGCTCTTCTTATGATTCATTTGCTCGCATTACAACAATTTTTTATTTAGTGCAACGCCTTTCTCAGTTTACGTCAATGAAAAAGTGGCCGCAATAAAATTAGATTACATTAGCAAAGAGTAAGTTTTTGTGTAACGGGGAAATGCAATACCATATTTAACACGATTTTCAACAGCAACATCAACAGCGGCACTTGAACGACCTGAGATAAAAACTTGGCCACATAATTTTTCAACAAATTGGTTTTACATACGAGTATAGTGAACTTTTAAAATCACCACCACCATTCTCAATGTGTTAACATACTTGAAATGAGCACAATTACTATCAAATTATTTACAATAAATAAATATACATATCAATTTGTGATTGATGCATTTATAATTTCACGAGCGTAATAAAATAGTCTCTTTTTTGGCTGAATATCAATCCATCGACAGCATGACGTTCATCACATTTTAAACATACAAAATCTCTTTTACTCTATTAGCGCAGATTCTGATTTCAATTTGGCTCAAACAACAGTAGTATAATGTTTGCAAATCAAAAATTTAACTTACATAATTTAAAAACGAGTCGATCGATTTGATTGTTGCAAGCAATTAATCCCACGAAAAAATATTATCCATTCGATTGCAATGAATATATCGGAAGTTTTTCACTTTTTGCGTTCAATGAATTTCTCTTTTGTTGTTGGTTTTTTTTTATTATATCCGCACTCAATTGCAGAAATACATCGATTTACAAAAACAAGCCACAATTGAAAATTGAAAATAATGTTATCAATATCACGCGCTTCGTTCGCGTTTTTTTCGCTTTCGCGCTGATCCAATCGATTGTATTTTTTCTCGTTTCTCTCTACTGAACCAAAAGTGATTTCGTTTCTCTGGATTTTCGAGCGAACAAACTCAAATATTTCAAAATTTTCCGTTTTTTTTTCTTCACGAAAACTATAAATCGCTTTGGAATTTTTCCAATTTGTTGTGAACGAACAAATTTTTTTTTTCGTTTTGGTCGAATATCCCCCTTTTAACACGTTATTTGTTTTTTTTTATAACTTTATTTCACTATAAATTCCTATTTGTTTATGCACGTTATTCTCCACGTCAACATTTATTATTGTTATCTCAAAGTTGTTTCTGCTGCACTAATTTTTTTTCTGCATTCAACCAAAAAAGCATATCAATGCACTAAATTTTAATCCTCGATTACGTTTTCAAGGGTCGGTGAAATAACGGAATTCATTTTCAATTTTTCGCCAATTTTTTTTGAAGAAAAAAAAATAGTTCATAATTTTCACTTATTCAATGCAATTATTTTATCTCTTTACCAAAAAAATTTTATCCGTCCAAAAATCGCTGCGATCTATTCAGTTTTGTTGCAAACTGAAAAGAAAAAATCACACCATTCAATAGATGTTGGTTTCACGAGTTCTTTTTTTTTCTCAGTTTGAATTTATATTACAAAATGTTGGCCAATTTTACAATTTTTTTCCATAAACTTTTAAATAAACATGAAAATTCATTTAGGATAAAGCACACAAAGATTTTCACTTTCAATTCATCTGAATCATTGAAATTTTATAAGAATTTAATTTCCTTTTGATGCTTGACGAACAACAAAAAAACGGACGAACGATACGAATGCTACAGCATCCCGAAGGAGAATGAATAGACGATACGAAAGCAGCTAGCATACTTCCCATTATATTGCGACTCAGTTCTACCGCTAACACTGTGCTGTTCGCTCGACATTCGTTCAATACGATGTGTGTCTCTGTGTGTAACAGCACCGTACCGTTTTGTATTGACGATAATTTGTGCCGTTGTTTATTTCGTATGAGACCGCTTTTACGTTGTTTTCATTGGTTGGAACAGCGTTGAAAATTGTTCAAAGCGTTTTGTCCGCAGCATAGATTTTTTATCCATCTGAAATGCCACGTGAATGAGTGAATGTGAATTTGTGGTTGGAGACAAGTGTTGCTCAAAAGCTTCACTCTTGAATGTCTATGTTTGAAGGGGTAATTTTTACCACTTGAATTGAAACGTGTTCGAAATTGGCGGAATCCAGTCATTTTTGGCTATGTACAAAACATATGCGTGGCATACTACAACACGACACTAAAACAATAGATGAATGGTTACATTGGGATATTTGAGCATGTTTATTCGAAAATGTGATTATTGCCGTTAACCTCTTAGCAAATATCTTCCATTTGGCACACGTCGAGATTGAAACAATGCAAACGAATTGCGTAAGTTATATGCAATGAATGTTCTCATCAATCGGCTTGGTTCAAATAAATATCGACCATATCAAATTGTCTCGCAATTCAACAGAGAATTGGCAAATATATCAGCACCGAATGAGTGAGACTGACGAGATAAAAAAAACAACGATCTCAATGCATATTGTGTGTACTTATCAATTTTATCTGTACAAGCATCCATCAATCCAAGATTGACCAAACCCGTGCATTGTATATGCCATTGTATCTAATGCATTTTATCTTTAACTTCCATGTTTGCGTTATTGACCGGAAAATGTTTTAATTCAGTACATAGCACTCGTTTGCAATTTACTGCATCAATCTGGAATGTTCTCTCTCCATGCGCCACATATACAGTGCCATTTTAAAACAATAACAGGAGACATGTTCGCTTAACTTGATGCTATTTTAATATAAGCAGTCAACTTCTCGAACTTTACTTAATTCTTTAAATTAAATTTGCTGATGATGAATATTTTTTTATTAATCGGCTCTCATCTGAAGCAAAGTGATTGCAATTCAAATGAGGGGAGAAAAAAACAGTGACCACAGTTTTCCTATTCGTAATCGATTTTACATTTATCATCATTATCAAATCAATTTATTAAACTGAAACATAATGAGAATGATCGCACTGTAGAGAATCTTCTTCAACCCAAGGGCAAAGCCATCTGAAAATTGATCGATAAATTATTAGCGATAAACGATAAACGATAAGATAATGCAACGAATTCCAAATCGGTGGCAAATCACAAACGAGATCTCGATTGAACGAAGGATGCACTTCATCCATAAATTACTTCTTTAAACTGCATATTTTACTGTCGAAGACGATGTGAACAAGGCTTTTTTTTATAAATGCATAACATTTGAACGTCGGCATTAAGATTGAACGAAATGCATTATGTTGTCTCGCTTCGATTGAATGCTGAGAATTATTGCCTATTAATACCGTTAATCACTTTGGTTTCAGGTTTGGTTATTTCATTTCTTTCATATTGATTTTGTTGATTTTGATGCGACAATCATTTTGACAATTATAGGCTCATATTCAACCATAATGATGTGTGTATTAAAGTGGCCAGAAGCGGTGACCAACGTCCAACGGTGCACATACATTCAAAAAAAATTATCGATTGTGATAAATGGTTGCATATTTGCAGGTCTCGTTGCGAATATAAGCCGATATAGGTAAGACTTGACCATGTAAACTGCACACCGTTGATGGTATGGATTGTTGGAGCATATTTCGAAAAGTGGAAAAAAAACGAGTCGATGCGAAACGGCTGGCTGAAGTTGGTTTCATAGTCGAACGTTTTGAGTTTGTTTGCCACCGCATTAACATTAAATGCTGCTTCATTTTCCATGTAATTATCTGAACATACAGTGACAACCAGAGTGAGATAGAAATAGATAGCGAAAGAGAGAAAATGAACCAACGAACGACCGAACGAGGGAAGTTTCGGTTTGGCCGTGTTTATTGAACTTGGTAACTTATTTATGGACGATGTATAGTGAGCGAGCTCTATGTCATCTACATACTTCTGGTTTTATTCACACTCTGGATTCTCTGTTTATATTTACGGCTGTTTATTGCTCGAGTTAGTGTCGCGCTGTGTTTGCGATGTCAAAGTATCGGTTGATTGGATGTGAAAATGATTGGATAACAAATGCATCGTTGCGTCAGAAAGCCAAAAGAGGAATCAATAACAAACACACACATATTATATATAAACATAAATCCATCGACATAGATAAAAGAGGCGCATAAAAATAAATGTAGTAGCAATTTTGTGCGATCAGAGATGAAACAACAAAAGAGAATGTGATTGAACAGTTGAGAGTCGCACTATTATTGACTGATAATGGAAATCGATTTTTTTTTCTCTCTTCTCACACTATGCCGTGTTCATCAAGAATCGAAAGATAATTAGAATACATTTTTCATATGCAAATTGAGTCGTCAGAAGTGTGTGCTCAACATTTATTTGGTGACACTTTATCTCGTTTATATTTTTAATTGCTTCTTCACCACTTATTTGGGTTTAAAACATTGCTTTATTTGTTACTCTTCACATCGCATTCGTCGTTTTTTCGGTGTCATCGTTTGTCTTCGCTGTTGTTGTTTTTTTTGTAGTTTTGTTTTGTTTTGTTTCTTTGAAAACAAACATAAAGCATTTTAAACAACAGGATTAAGATTACGGCTGCATCAAATTTGATGTATTTAAGCATGACTTACTAATAAATTATTTAAAATGTACTACAAGGGGAAAAATGGCGGTTTTTTCGGAGTGGAGAGTGTATAGAAAACCTCATAACAAGAACTTTTCGAGCATAAGTATTTGTGAAGCGATTATTTTACTTGGCGCAAGTAATTTAATAAGACCCGAATAATTCCACTGTTGACAACCGACTACCAATTTAAAACGTTAAATTATCTCAGCTACAAACATATAAGGTTTTGTATGTTTTTCGTTGCCATTTGCTAATTCCATGAGCGACAAAATTCCGTTTGGTCGAATTGTACAAATTGTGGCCCATTTTAAGTCTGCACATTATATTAACCATAGCAAATGCGACTGCTGCCATAGAACTAGGACAGTAAACTGGCTAACATATGCATGCAAAATCATATACTATTTTTTGATTTCCAATGTAGATGATATAGACTGTGATTTTCCGTCGCTATGCTCTGGCTACATCTGCTTGGAGTAGCGAAGAGTGTGCGGAGGCGAAAATAGCAAACGAGACAATTTTCAATACGAATGCGAAATGCGAGTTGTGTTTGTTTGTCTCTTAATGCGAATTGCGAATGTGGTATTTCGGTTCGTTTTATCCGTAACTGGCGACACGGCGTCTACATCTGCTTCAGTTTTATTGGCAACGTCTCTCTCTATCTCTCGTGCGCGCACAGTATGAGTGCTAGTGTCCGTGGTTGTAGCTATTCGTCTATTTTCTGCGTTGGCACAAAACTACTCCTGTTTATGATTATGTTGATGTGCTGCCAGTTTTCATTTTTTTTCTGCTCTCTTTTGCCAAAAATTCTTTCTCGTTGGACTTAAAAAAAGAGACTAAGTTGTGATATCACATCCACCATGTCTCCGAATGTATTCCATTTTTCTTGTGTCGTTTAAAGCGACGTTTTTCTTTTTGTTTGGAATTCACAGTTTATGCTCTCTTTTTTTTCGTCGCCAAACATTTATGAATAAATGGCACATTCATTCTCTAGTACCACGACAAATTGTATGTATGTATATGTTGGATAGTATGCTTTGCACACTAAACCGAACAACAAAACCAAATCCATTCTATGGACCTGATGCGTGCATAACGACATAAGTGCATCCAGTTTTATTGCATCTTGCTTGAAAATGCCATGAGAAAAATAGCAAATTTTATATCGTTGTTTGTCTCTGTTTGATATCTGATTTCACCGATTGCAGTAACATTTAATCTTTTAGAGATGCAGTGAGTTGGTTTGTTTGTTTTCTCCTCCGTTTATTTTTGGCTCTGCTTGTTTTATGAATTAACACAGAAGAAAAAAGAAATGAAAAGAAAAATGAAGACAAAACAAGACAACAAAATATTGTTCACGCCAGAACCGAAATGAGATAAATAATTCTGTTTTCAGACTTTGTGCAGACTCACAGCTCAGCAGCTTCAATTCAAATCAAATTTCATTCGATTTAGTCTATTAAAATGATGATTTTCAGCACTTTGACTTCGGGCATGTGTCAAGGCTTCACCAATTTGATCAGAATCATTGACCACTTGATTTCATGAACCCCCCAGACAAACAACACTATTATTAATGCACAAACAAAGTTATAGTTAATCTAATTCAATCAGTTTTTGTATGTGTCGCTCTACATAATGTCGCTTTTGTAAATAGTTTGTCATTAGCCGGAGTTCATTGGAACTATTTTAAATGGCTGTGTAATGTGTATTCCTCAAATTTGGTTCAAAGATATTCCATATAATATATTCATGGTTATTATATTTATGCACAAAAACACCAAATATGTTCATATTTTTTTATGGAAAACATTTTCATGAATAGCAAACAAATTCGCATTGTTAACACTGCTTCCATGTGAGTGTTTATTTAAGGACACTCAAAACGTACATATTCAGCTCATTCCGTTTGTTTCGACAGCTTATAACAAACACATCACCATTTGAATATCAAATGAGTTCAGTGTTTAAATTGTGAAATAAACATAATGTGCACAGTAATTAATCACACTGCATCGATTTATGACGGAATTCATCAAATGCGTTGGCCTTATTTGTATGTTGGTGGCGTACATGGATTAAATTGTATGAGTGCATTTGCTCTCTCTCTCTCTCTCTCTCTCTCTGCTATTCAAAACCA